TATGACCACTGCCCCCTGGGATACAAACTTCACTACACGTAGGAGACCAGACCATTAGATGTTGACTGCCCGGAATTGCAGTTATGCGTCTCCACACCACACCAGTCATTCCGAGTTTCAGGTACAAACTTATGTGTCGAGACATGTCTTATCAACTTAACATCTTTGAATCAGCACTAGCAGACCTTAATTCTGACACCTGTACAAAGTTGCCGCTAAAAAGAATCTTTAAACATGGATTTTACGGATCGAATGCTATCTGCAATAGTATTGATGAGGTGATTCCATTTATTTTTCTCCCCTTAATACAGTATATCAAAAAGACGTATATAAATATGTTAAAAAATAAAAGTAAAAAAAATGAAAAAATAATTTGTAACTAGTAAAATCACAAATAAAAAATATTGCAGACGTTCTAGAGGTCATATTACGTTCATTAAACGAGTTATGTGTAATTAAGAGTACATGTACGAATAGAATTTTCAGAGCGGCATTCGCAAATGATGTGAAATATTAGTCAAATTTGGAATCAATGGCAAAATGTAGCTACTGAAATCAACGGCTTTCACCACCGAACTGCACCCTTTTTTGAACGTTGGAAAGATTCAACAGTGTACGCAGAAATTCCTTGAGACTTTTGCTCAGGCATTGGAGCGTCTTCCCCATTTCGTTTTCCCCATCATTAAAACGAAGTTATGTGCAAAAAGAGTACATGCTCGATATTTAAGAGCGGCATTAGCAAATGTTTAAATATATTCAAAATTGAAATCAATGGCAAAACGTAGCTACATGAAGTCAACGGCTTTCACCGAACTGTTATCTTATTTAAACGTTGAGAAGGATTCAACACGGTACGGCCAAAATTCCTTTGAGGCTTTTTGCTCAGAGCGTTGGAGCTTCTTCCCCATCGTGCGTTCCGCTGCCGTGGAGGCGTGCTTGCGCGTGCTCACGCGATGAGCGAGTGCGTTATCTTGCTCGGTGGGCGCTGACGCCAAACGCTCGGCCTTTCTATCGCCATGAGACGACGCGCGATTACAATGTACGTGGATATATACATGAGTCTAGGGTTTACCCATACTTCGTAATAGAAAAATACATTTTCTTATTTAAAAAAAAGAGGACACTTAATTAAAGTAAAATGTTGAATATATTAATTTTATTGTTGAAGTAAAATGCATACTACTTACTATATACTCTATCTGTTGTCAATCACTTTTACAATCACAGACTACGGCCTACTTTATTAACATTACTGTCTTTCCCACTTTTATACCACAAGTAATTGGTGGATTGATGAAAACCCCCTTAAAAAACTTGGCTTATTTGACCCCTGTGCCAACAAACTTTTAATTTATAAGCATTCCATTAAACAAGGTATT